GTAAGGAAATTTTTGTTTTTTCACTTTTATATATATAAAATACTAAAAAATTTCAACGAAACAGTGCCGGTCAGCACCCCGTGACATAGGGTGGATCTGCCCCCGTAGTAAATTGCTACACATCATTTCAGACAATTAATTGATTACGCATCTAACATGGAACACAAATGTACATTTTCTGGTTTTCACTCTAATGATCTCATTGATTTTCCTAACATCTTTCTGTTTTATTTTATTTGCACTATATATTGGTAAAAATCAAGATTTGATCCTCGGTCTTTCAAATTTTCTCTCATTCGCGAAACTTCAGACTCAATCCACTTCACAATTGGTACACTATCAGTATAATTGATCTGCTTAAAATTGGGATCAGATCAATATTGACATTTTTACTTTGAGATGCATCCACTTTACAATCGATATAGAAATGTGTCATTTCTTTTTATCAATTAAAAAGAAAAGTAAGTAATATAAAATTGAACAGAAGGAGCAGTAAAAAATGAAGAAAGCTAAGAGGTATTTAAAAGGGAAAAGGAGTTAAAATGTAATTTTATAAACTCAGGAGTTGAATTTAAATTTGAAGTGTTTTGGAGGTTAGATACACTTTTTGGATTTTTGGCCATTGGTGCAAAAAAGTTGTTCACATATCACATCACTAACAAGGAAATAGTTGGAAATTAGTAAGATTGTGAGTCCTTGAGCACATGGAGATATAATGAATTAAATTTAAAATTCAAGAGCAAAACAAAATGTGGTTGTTAAAAAGGGACCCAAATGAATGGAATACAATTATATTTCATTTTGGGATAATAAGACTTAAAATAACTCTTTATTGGGATAGCCTCTTTTTTTTGTTTGTTAAAAGAAAAGAACTCAAAAATTGTAAAAATTGCATTTATGTTATGATACACTGTCTGGATATGTTATATGAAATCATGATATTAAAAGCAGATTAATTTTAAGTTGACATTTTATTTGAACGTACAAGTTATATTTTTTTTCTTAAACATAAAAATCTTTGTGAAAACTATCAAACTTCCTCCGATTCTTAATATGCATGGTAACTATTCCACAGATTAGGCATTGGCTGTCATAAGTGGATGAAGTAAATGTTGAATATGACTTAAAAGAAGATTCATCATTTGTTTTTGTACTTGTCAGCAAATGCCTACTTGCCTAGCTTCTTTTGTTTAATTCTAAAAAAGGCAATATTTCACTCTTGTCTCTAATTCATAACAGCCAATGGCACTAGTCAACAATTCTAGTAATTAACTATGTATTCTTTTCATATGGTACGAGTATTTCTTTATGTTGAACATGAGTTTTTTTCTTAGATAATTTAAAATGGATTTTTTTTATAAAATATAAATTTATGAGTCAAATTTATATATATATTTTTTAAAATCATAATTTTTAGAAAAATTGGGATTTAGCCATGAATTTTTTTCACTTTTACTCAGATTCTTTTTCACTTTATTTGAAAATTATTGTTTAACCATGAAATTTACAAATACAATTTGAGATTTGAAGAACACCCAAAATTTTGTTTTCACTATATTTTTCTTTTTCAAAACTTTTTGTATATATATAGATGAATTACTAGAAAAAGGATATATACAAGAAAGCAATAGTAAGCATACAAGCCCGGCATTTATCGTAAATAAACATAGTGAACAAAAAAGAGGAAAAAGTAGAATGGTTATTGATTATAGAAATTTAAATGCAAAAACTAAAACATATAATTATCCGATACCAAATAAAATACAAAAGATAAGACAAATACAAGGATATAATTATTTTAGCAAATTTGATTGTAAATCAGGATTTTATCACTTAAAACTAGAAGAAGAATCTAATTTGATATTGTATATCTTTCTTTAATTTTTGTTGTAATGGTTTTATATTTTCTGCTAATTTTGGTATGTATTCTTTTACTTGATTTACTAGTCCTAAGAATGATTGTAATTTCTTTTTTGTGTCTAGTTGTTCATTTGAGTTAATTATTTTTTGTACTATATGTTTTTGCATTTTTATTCCGTTTTTATCAATTTGTATTCCTAAGAATTCTATTTGGTTTTTCATTATATCAGCTTTCTTTTTACTTAGACTTATACCTGAATATTCTATGATGTGTATAAATTTTTCTAATAATCTTATATGTTCATCTTGTGTCTTAGAATATAATAATATATCATCGATGTACACTACACAATTTTCTATTTGTTTAAAGTAATTGTCCATAAAGTGTTGATATCTACCTGGTGCGTTTTTATATCCAAATGGTAATACATTCCATTCATAAAATCCTTGTGGTACAGTGAATGCTGTTAGTTTTTTAGATTCTTCTTCTAGTTTTAAGTGATAAAATCCTGATTTACAATCAAATTTACTAAAATAATTATATCCTTGTATTTGTCTTATCTTTAGTATTTTATTTGGTATCGGATAATTATATGTTTTAGTTTTTGCATTTAAATTTCTATAATCAATAACCATTCTACTTTTTCCTCTTTTTTGTTCACTATGTTTATTTACGATAAATGCCGGGCTTGTATGCTTACTATTGCTTTCTTGTATATATCCTTTTTCTAGTAATTCATCTATATGTATCTTAAATTCGGTTAAATCATTAAAATTATACTTTAATGGTTTTTGGGTTATTATACTGTTATTATCAATTAGCTCAATTTTTACTTTTGTTTTATGTTTTTTCCATCCTTGTAAAGGATCCTCACTATATAATAATTCTAACTTATCTTGAATTATTTTTTACTTTATCTATAGAGAATATAATTAATTCTATTTTAGGGTCTTCTTCTTTTATATTTTCTAATTTTTGTGTAATATTTTCACTTCCTTTTATCCATTCTGTTGTTTTTCGTTTTTTATTATTTACTCTTTTTTGCTCCTATTTTTTGTTTACACGGTGTTGTGAACCACCAGTGTGTTTTTGTTATTATATGTGGGTATAATTTTTCTAAAAATGACATTCCTAATAGCATATCTTTTGTAGTTAATTCAAAGTTATATATTTCTTCTATAGTTAATATCTCATCCCATATTTGTACTTTTATATTTTTTGCCTTTTATGTGATCATGCTTTCTTCATTATTAAATCTCGTTACTACTATCGGTGTTTTTAATTTTTCTCATTTATCTTTTGGTAAACAATTGTATTTACATATATTAGCTTCTACTCACGTATCTATCATTGGTGTATAATATCGGTTGTAATATCCATCTATTATTATCTTTGCAAGTATATATATTTTCATATTTTTATCTTCATATTTTTATCATACCAAAGTCCTTTTTATTATTATTCTTTTATTTTCATAATTTATTGTTAACTGTTTGTCTTCTAGATTATATGGTTTTACTTGTTCCAACCATTTTATTCCTAAAATGATATTTTCATTTCCTTGATATATTTTGAATTTTATTACTATTGGTACTCCTCCGATGATTATTTCCTTTTCCGTAGTTTCTTCGGTATACATTAATGCTTTTGGTAGTTCGGAGCATGATTGTTCAATAGTTATTATTTCATCTTACGTCACTAATTCTCTTGTAATATAGTTTTCTTCTCGTCCTGTATCTATTAATATTAAATATTTTCGTTGTTCCATTATTCCCGTTATGTAGTAATGATGTGGTTTTATATCTTCTTCTATTGATTTTTGTGGGGTTTTATCTATTCTTCTTGAGGTACTCATTTTTTATGATATTTGGGGTATCTCATTGTTTATCCTTTTCGATGTGCTTAGTCTTTCTTTTACTATTTCTAAATCTTCTTCTATATCAATTTCATTATAACTATAATCGTTTTTGTCTATGACTGTAACTATTCTTTCAAAGTGATCTTCTATTTTTATTTTATCTATTTTATTTTTTGCTGTTATTTTATGTTTTGTTATTAGAACATATAAGTTTTTACATCTAGCTGTAAATATTTTACTTCCTGGGGCTAGTTCTATCCCTGACATTCGCCAGTATAATACTAGTGATTTATCTATATTTCTGTCATTTATTGCTACTGAGTAGTTAACACTTATTATAAATTTAAATTTTTGGTATATGAGGTTACCTCTTACTGCACTTATTATACTTTTTTCTATGGGTTGTATAATTCTATCATCCGCTAAGTATATTTCTATGGGTGTATCTATTCCTTCTCTAAAACATGCTTTTATTAATATTTCTGTTCCTCCTAAGTGTACATATTTAATTGGATTTTTAGCCTTAATATCTTGTATTTCTTTATTTATTATTCGTTTATTTATTATTGGTATTTTGGCCTTTCCTTTAGTGTATTTGCAATCTATGATATGTTCTCTTTGACTTACTACATAATATTCTTCTTTTTGTCGTTTAAACCAGTTTCTTACTGTTGGTATTTCAAATATTTTTGCTACGCTTAGGTCTAATTCTTTTCCTTTTATTTGTTCAAATATACTATTATCAAATATTATTTTCTGTTCTAAATATTCTTCGTCTTGATGTTTTTCTTTATTTATTGTTTGTATATCTGCTTCAATCATTTGTTATATTATAGAATTCATTTTCTATTTCTATGTCATTATCTATTTCATTTTCCAATAATTCATATATACTATCATTGCTTTCTAATTCATAATCTACGTATTCTATTTGTGTATATTTTTCATCATCTATTATTATTTCTGATATTTGTTTTTTCTTTGGATTTTTAGGTAATTTACAATCTCTAGCTATATGTCCTAATTTTCCACAATTATAACAAGTACATTCCGTTAGTTTTCTTTTTGGTCTATATGGTCTTTTGGTTTTGTAATTTTTTACATAGTACATTCTTCTTGGTTTTTTATATTTATATTTTGATCTGTATTTTTTATTATATTTCTTTTTATTTTTATAATACCTATCCGTACAACCAAATTGAGGTGCTATCTTATTTTTGCAACATGCCAAGTTTTTTACTAATATTTTTTCCATTTTTATTTCTTCTTTATGTTTTTCACATAGTTCCATAAACCATCGTTGTAAGAATTTTATTCTAGCTCCTAAGGTATCTGTTAATTCTGCTTCATTCCAACTTTTTATTACTTTTGAATTAAAAGGTTTTGGTAATTTTGTAAAATATAATTTTCTTATTTCTTTACTTTCTTCTATGCTATATGTTCCTTTATAATAATATTCTCTAAATGCACATGTATATTCATCTATGTAACACATATTACATATTGCTAATTTTGTCATTAGATTCCGATTTATGATTTTTTCTTTATTTTGTTCTTCTACTTCTGTTGTCATACTACTAAATTCATTTCTTATAGCTATTTCATATTTATATAATATTTCCATGGTTGTAGTGGCTGTTCCACCATCAAATTTTTTATTATTTCTTAAAGTTGTTAAGCTTTCATTTGTTCAATTTTGTAGCTATAATTTTACTGTTCCTATAAGTGTCCTTTCTATGTATCCTGGTGCCTCTGCTATTACTATCTTGTTATCTATTAATTGTTTTGATATGTTTCCTACCCATAATTGGATTGTTTTATTTATGTCTGCTACACAGTCTAAATCTAAAAATTCATGTTGTCCAGTTATTGGTTTAGGCATCCATTTTTTATTTAATCTTTTATCCCATGTAGTTTTTTCCTTATCATATTGTTCATAATTTTCATTATAATATTTTGTATTAAAATTTTTTGGGCTTTTTACCCCTGATGTGCTAGGTTTTTCGTCCATGTCTACGTCTTCTGTATTTACTTCTAAATTCTTTGTATTATCTATGTTTGCTAAAAGTTCCGTATATGTTTCGCTTATTTCCGAATGTTGTTCTAGATCATCATCGTTTATTTCATCAACTCTTATTTCGGGTAGATTATCTTGGTTATTTTCTTCTTTTTCTCCTAATTCATCTTGTAATTGCAATTTTTCTTTAAATTTAATTATCTCATTTGCTAATTTTGTTTTTTGTTCTTTTTCTTTTTGTTTAATTTCATACATTTCTTTTAATATTGCTAGCTCTTTTTCTAGCTCTATTATTTTAGCATTTTTTACTTCTTCTAATTGTTGTACTTCCTTTTTTGCTTGTTGTTTTATTTTTTCAATTTCCGTTCTTCTATCTATTTCTTCATTTTCTTTTGTTATTCTTACCATAGCAGTTAAACTATCTTCTAGTTTTACCGTTTCTTTTTCTAACATTAAACTTATATTGTCACCTATTTTCTTATATCTTCTTCCTAGATTAGAAAATATTATCTTTATTTTTAATCCGTCATAATTTTTATATGTTTTTTCATCTATTGCGTATTCTTCTTTATTCATTTATAAATTATGTTGTAGTTTATATTCTAAGTTATTTATTTGTATTTCTAGATATAAAATAGTCTTTCTTTGTGCTACTATAGATTTGTGACAAATTTCTGCGAATATATTATTGTTAAGTCTATTTTGCCTATGTTCTAATTCTTGTCGTTTTTCTATAATTATTTCATTAAGTTTTTGTCTATATTCGTTATTCTTGTTATTCATTGTATTTTTAAATATTGAATATATTTATATTCTATTTTAGATATAATATTTATTAATTGATCTAATTTTTCATTATCAGTCTTTGTGATATTAAGTTGTTTATATTTCGGATATAATTTATTTAATTTTCTTCTTATTTTTCTTAATTTTCTACTCGTATGTTTCTTACCGTGTTTCTTATTATCCATAGCTCTGATACCATTTTTCGGTGCGGAAATCGTAGTTGGGGGATTCATGAAAGTGGTAGTGTGGTAGGTGAGTATTTTATTTGAAAGATTTTATTGTAGTGTTCTTTTGCTAAGTGTTTTAATCTTGATATCTCTTTAATGTTAATTTTTGGTAGTGTGAAATTCATGGTAAAATGTAATAATATTTATTGTAATATTCTTCCGATAGTTGTTTTAATCTGAATATTTCTTTAATATTATTTATGATATATTCTAGATATAACATATCTTCGATTCTTTGGTACATAGATAAAGTTTCCTCTATTAATTGTTCTAATAGTTTTATATCTTCCATAGATTCTATCCAATATTGTAAATATTCGTAATTCATTTTAATCTGAATTTATTTCTAAATCGTACCATTCTATTCTTTCATTATCTAAATATAGATCTTGTAAATCTATTTCATACCATTCTTGATTTAATATATTTTCTGATTCGTAGTCATCAAATATTTTTTTCCATATGATTCTTCTTAATTCAATTATTTCTATACCGTTAAGTATATATAAGATTAAAGTTTCATAATTTTTTATCATCTCGTCATGCATATATGTAATCATGTTCGTTGTTTATGCAGTTTTTTATTTTCAAATTATTCCTTCCTATCATATTCATAATTGATTAAATTCATATTAGATCATTATGAACTAGATTATCTTTATCGTGTTTTCCTGTCACTACTAGCATCGTACTTTAGCGAATACTTCCTTCTTATCAGCGCCTCAACTTTGTTTGCTCCCCTAAACGGCTTTCCTCGCCTACCGGTTTCAACATTAGGATGGCATAGTATAGAAGTTTTCTCCCTGTTTCCAGTGTGCTAATAAACTAGAAATCATGATTCAAATAATTCTAATACATAATAACTAACATAAATTTATTCAATCATATATATGATATTCAGGAATATATGAAATTAGTTCTGTATATTTTTTTAACAATATACCTTTGCCTCTTGCTTTAGCCATGCTATCTGAAATATCTGATTGGATTTCAGATTGTTGTTCCATTAACTTTTAAGTATTTTATATCTTAGTGGAGAGAGTGTTTATAAGAAAGTTTTTATTATGTTAGGCAATGCCTGCCTTACAACATTTACAACCGACCCTTTATATAGACATACATATTCTAATACATCTGTCCACTTACTATTTACTACTATTCATTACTATTCATGAATAGTTCCTATTTTATCCTATTAAGACTTATTTACACCTAACTTTTACACTTGTCTAATATGCACATGCATGCTACTATTTACTTTACGACTTATATACTACATTTTATGAAACATTACTTACTACAATACATTATTATGACTTTTTACATATCTTTTTACACTTTTTCCAAAATATCTATCTTCTTTTTTGTTTCTTCTTATCTTTGTCTTCCGTCTTCTTGACTCCTTCTTCTTATCTTCTTAGATTATTCCAGCTAGACGTCTGGGATTATATTATCTTCTCCGTTGCATTTTGAACATATGTGGTCAGGGTATTTGTGACCAATTAGCTTGCAATATCTCGTTAATAATTCTGCTGAAATAAATCCTTCTTTTAGTGCTCGTGTCGTAGGTCGTTCTTCTGGCTTTAGTAGTGATAAAATCCATCTTTGGACTTCATCCATATCTGCTTTCCTTAGCTCCCTTGAATTGGAATAAATCATTAGCTGGTCTCTTGCATAGTAGCTCCATATAGCGTTTCCGTTTAAATAATTATTTGCTAACTCTTGTATAATTGTTGATATACCAATTATCCTTTTGTTGGCATAAAAACTTGGTATCTCTATTTTGAATAGCTCTTCTTGTTGTCCGATATCCTCGGGTATAATCATATCTTTAGTTAATCCTATCTTGATAACCTGTATTGGAGGTTTTATTTCCTCGTATAATATCTCCGCTGGTGCTGTATAGAATTTTATATAAAATAAATTTACTTTCGTAACTCTTTTGTATGTGATGAATGCTTTGTGTAGTTCTAGTATTCCACTAACTTCTTCTCCATCATATGTGTATACGGTATTTAACAGTCCATAGTTATAACATGTTCTTACTAAATTAGCGTTAGTTTTCGGTTGTGCGATTAACTTGTTATATCCTTGTAACTTTTGTGTCAAATAATCTTGGTTTGGTTCTTTTGTAGTTGATCTGGGGTTGCGGTTTAAATAGGTTTAGATTTTGTGGATATTTTCAATATAGGTTCGTGTAATGTAGTTATATGTCTTTTTCTCATTTTGATTTTGCAAACTATCTGCGTATGTAGATGTTTGTGGTTCTATGGACACATGTTTAGGTGTCCTTTGGGTAAATGGTTTTGCAAATAGCGGGTTTAAGTTCACATTTTTATGTTGTTTATCGCTAACTTGTTTGCTTGTACCTGCAGCTGTATTTAAACAAACATTATGGGTTTTAAGGAGTTTCCCATCGTCTCCTTTTAGCTCTGGCTTTTTTCCGTCTTCCGGTTGACATAGCTCCGCATTTTTATAGTCATGCTGCTGACTAGCTTTAGACTTTAGATTATCTTCATTAGTCTTTAGCTTTTGTATCTCGTTGTCCATACTATCCACTTTTGTACAAAGTGTAGTAATAGCTTTGAGTATTTTTTCGATTGTATCTTCTTCCTCAGTCTCAGTCTGAATAGCTTTGTCGTGATAGGTAGTCTGCAATAACATTCTTATCAGTTTTTATTAGTTCAATTGTAAATGTAAAATTTAATATATTTAATACCAATCTCCTTATTTCTTTTGTCGTTACCGAATCTTGTATTTTTCTTGTTAGCCACCATTTTACTTGTGTATTATATGTTCTTATAATAAATTTGTTATATACAATATATGGTTCAAATGATAATAAACACTTATATACTGAATATAATTCTTTTCTATTTATTTCCCATTTTATTTCTGTATTATTAAATGTTCCTGAATAATACCTGCAATGATGTTCTATCGTAGTGTCATCATACCTGTATTTTAATATTCCTCCATAACTTTTTTCACTCGCATCTGATTCTATTATATAAGTAAATATTTTGTTTTTATCTGGAAAGTATAGTTTAGGTAAGTTTTTACACAATAATTTTACCTTTTGTATTTGTATTTGGTCTTTTTTATCAAACTGATATTCTATATCTTTCTTTAATTTTTGTTGTAATGGTTTTAAATTTTCTACTAATTTTGGTATGTATTCTCTTGCTTGATTTACTAGTCCTAAGAATGATTATAATTTCTTTTTTGTGTCTAGTTGTTCATTTGAGTTAATTATTTTTTGTACTATATGTTTTTGCATTTTTATTCCGTTTTTATC